GCTACCAGATAAACAATTAAGGCAAAAAGTCTTTTTAATGCATATATTTTCGACTATAAAGAGCCACTAGTCTTGCTTACTTACGCTAATGGATTGGTCTTTTAGATTGCGATTAAGGTGGTTCGTGAATCTAGATCGCTACTGTTAGACTTATATGGCAGTTTGATATTATATTGTGCAGGTTATTATTGACTATCGAGGCTCGTGAAAAGATTTTTTTGCTTCCGGTGCATTAAATGGAAAATATGCATCCAAAACAATAAAGAAGTACCGTTGCAAACAGATTGCCCAACTTTAATCTTGTGCTTTAGATAGGTTTTACATTGTCCTTAAAACAGGTTACGGTGATCACATCGAGAGTATTGACGTGAGTTGGCCTTTTCGAAATAATCTCTTTCACATACAGCTTAGGGCCGGATAGGTATAATGGTGATATTTATAAGTAAAGTCCGGATAAAAAAGCACAAAAAAATCGAAAAAAGTGCCTACGAAAGCACCAAAAATGAAAAAAAAGTGCTTAAAAACCCATAAAAATATTTTAACAAGTAATTTGAACAAAAATTAAAACAAGTTGTAATGATAATATATTGTTATTTTTATTTGTTATTTTACATTTAACACGTTCTATTTATTTTCAATATACTTATTTACAATTAACAATGCTTAAAAGGAAATATAACGAAACGTTTCTCCAAATTTTCCGTAGTAAAATTATGTCTCCTGTCTGATAAAATGTTTTTGTATGCAGAAAAACTTCGTTCTACATCTACACTTGTTATAGGTGCATATTTAAATTTTGGTATAACTGCTGGATCTATTTTAAAATCGGAATTTGGCGAACCATTCAGAACAGTAGATACTTTTTGCAATGTTTGGAACCCTGTATTCTTTGAACGAGTCTAAACCAATTTTTATTTTATTATTTGACCGATATATCCTGGAATACTATTTGCTGTAGCTTCAAAATCTTTAATAACCTTTATGGATTCCACTAACGGCAGTTGCTGTTTTTGGCAGCTTTGATAAAATATTTTTTTGCAATTTTTTATTCGTTTATTGAACAACGGATCCTGCAATCTTCATTCAGGACCGATACCTGGAATACTATTTGCTGCAGCTTCAAAATTTTTAATAACCTTTATGGATTCCACTAACGGGAGCTGCTGTTTTTCCAAAAATTGAATGCTTTGACTTATAAATTTAAAATGAGTTTTGATAAAATCCATATTATGTGCAAGTTCGGGTAAAAAGTTGAACTCTCAATGTAGGTTTCATAAATATTTTTTTGTCATTTTTTATTAATTTATTGGCCAACGGATACTGCAATTTTATAGTTTCAGCTATGTGGTTAAGGTCATGTGCTAAGCAGGTGCAATGCATTAAATTATAGTAAAACATTTTAAGATTTGATGCAGCTTTAATCATGTATGCTGCTGCGTCGGAAAGCATCAATACAATTTTTTCAGTTGGAACCACCTCGGGCAAAAAAAACTTGTTTAACTCTTCATGTACAAATCTAGAAATTGTATTTTACTGTTCGTTTTTGTTAATTCCTTTGAGCTTATTAAAAATCCTTCTGTGACAATATCTTCATTCAAGASTACTATAATCAAGTTGGCTATATATCTCCCACATKTGGCAGTTGTTTCATCTACAGTAAACCAAATATAATTATTTGCCATCATTTTTTGAATTTGCTGCATTGTATTAYCATAAACTGKGCTGACCTAATATTTACGAAGAGTACTCTCATCTGAAATGCTTTTTAAACAATATTTTTCTAGCAATTGTCTAAACGAACTACTTAGTAATTTATTCAAAATAATGTCTGATTAAACCATAGCACCGCACAAATCAAAATGAAATTGTTTTTGTTCATTAAATCGAGAATTTGAAGCTAGTGAAGTCAAAATAGTTTGTTGCTCATTTTGATTTTCCTCATATTTTTTAATGTGCTCCTTATGCCGTTCAGTTTGTAAATGCTGAGTTACGTCGTATTTTTTGTTAGAAACAACCTGCATCTTACAATAAAATAAGAAAATATTATCTACTCCTATTTTAAAATTTATTAAAACCTATTTTTTTTATATTGTGTCTTAAAGTCCTTTAACTAATGTCAAAAAGGAAATCTCTTAAGAGCCAAAAAATTCAGAAAAATAAAATATTTTAAACACGAAACAAGGACGAGAACAAGAATTTGAAAATTTTTACTTACTTAGTTTTAGAGTATGCTTGGCAAAAAATATTTTTTTTGTCAATTTTTAGTTCTTTGTGACCCTTAATCCACCCTTCAAGGGTTGGCTTTTGTTTTGGCATTGTTTAAGGAGTTACCACGTACAGCTAATTAAGTCGAAGTACAGACGATGCAAACTGGAGATCAGACCACCTCGTCGTAACTAACTAAATAAATAACAAAAGTCTTGGCATAGCGCAAGGCTAAACTTTGGGGAATAACCTACGTGCGAACGGATTTTTCGGGGAATCACGCGACGCCTTGCAAAGTTGCCAAATCTACTTTATATGGACATTTACTCCCGTATAATGTTTTGTACTATTTTTAAAATTATTTAAATTTGCGGAAGAAAGTTAAAATAAGCACGAAAACCAATATACGAAGTTTGGTATAATTCGTTTAGAAATTAAATAATCTTATGGTTGCTTGTAAAATTGAGCAATAAGCAAAATGCTTACAATCCGGTCTTTACGTATAACACGTTGTTATCAAGCTATGGAACAATTAATATATGCATTTTAGGAATCTTAAAGAGATTTTGATTATGGGTTTTCACGAGCAGCATGTTGTTCTATAATTAATTTAATCAGGGTTTCAATATTGACCCTCGCTTAAAAACAGAGCGGACGTTTAGTGAACCATTCGCGATATGATTTATTACTCAGTGAGTTGGTAACTGAATATGTGGTTTATAGGCTTTTTAAGTGGATTTGACTTTATTTCAACCGCAAGCCTTCTGCTATTTATTTCTAAAACATTCCTCGCACTTGTAATGATTATAGATTATTTCTTGATTTTTTTGCGTCGGTTTTTTCTAATAATTCTTACGGGGAAGAGCATTTGTCACATATTTTATGTTCATACTTCTGATTAATAGTTATTTATGTACGAAACACTCGAAAAAGCATTTCGCCAACCAGAAACAAAATAGAAAAGAAACTAAGGGACATTTCTTGAACAACCTGTAAATAATGGTTACCTGATAATTAAGATCGGTTTAATTAAGTTGGGATTCAAATTCGATTTTACTTAAAAGTCTAATTTTTCGTGTCTTAAGCGGTCCAACAATTTTTCGAGCCAGGAAAAAGTTTTGGCAGGATTCAAACCTGCGTCTTCATGATTCTAGCATAACGCTCTTACCAATTACAAAAAACATAATGTGATTGCTAGAGTCATGAAGACGCAGGTGCCAATTCTGTCGAAGACGGTAAATTTTTCGTAACTGCAAATATTCATCATCTTCATCATCATCCGTGGCTTCACAACCGTGGGTGGGTTTTTCGTCACTCAACCGCACATCTCCATTCTTCCCTATCAAGCATCCGATCGGGGCCATCTTCGACGTTCATGGCTTTAAGGTGTTTTGTGATATTACCTCCATCTGAGGCGGGGCCGACTGAATGGAAATTTTTCCCCTGGAACCTTTTTTTTTCGATGCCAGATCTCCTGGAGGCGCCGGCACGCGTAACACGGAATTCAGGAATGCTGACAGTGAGCAGGCCCTGGTCAAGGCTGACTTTGAGTCCATCTACTTTGATGTCGCTCTCCATTGCTCTGTATTTTCCGGTGCCATTTTTGTAGCAGTAATTATTGCTGTTTCCCCAAATATTTTTTACGATGAGCAATATTTGTTGTTTATGCCAAGATAGAACATTTTCTTCTCGGTTTAATACTCTTTAATGTCGGCTACTCCTAATTTTGTATCATATTTTGGATGGTAGGATTTTCTTGAACATGCGCCATCAGCAGTCACGTTTATCGAGGCCTTTATCATATCATCTACTTCCTTTGCCACTTGGTATTCCAGTTTCTATCATTGACTGCCAAACCATTGTTCCTTTGAACGAATGTCTTACTATCGTATCAAGAATAGGAAAATATCCATAATGCTGAGCAAAAAAAGTATTCATATTCTCTTCCCAACTCACAATTTTAGTAATTCATTAGCTTTCCACATTAACAAAACCTGAATTAAGTTGTTTGTAATATCGAAAAAGCGCTCAGATTGATTCTAATGAAATGTGTTATTTTTATGTCAGAGCCATGTTTTGCTGAAAACTCGCTTCTATTGTTCGTGAGATTTCTGATTCGAACGAAAACACACTCGCAAAGCAATTCGGACGAAAATGATTCCAAAGGCCAACACGGAGCCTTAGACTTTGTCCATGTCGGTCAGTTGAAAATTAAAAAACGCTTGATTATAGTTGATAGTACAGTCCACGACAAATAAAAGTACACGATTAAATAGTTGTTGTGTCAATCTGTATTTCGTGCTTCAGTCATTTGAATAAACTTTGAATTTGAATTCCTTGGTCTGCCTTTACGTAAGTGACATAATACTGCCGAACAAATTTTCCTGTTATAAAAATGACTTATGCATATCCTCTTATGACCTCGGTTGCTTCATCAATACATGAGTCTTACATGGAAACAAATTAACAGCGAGTTTCATTAAAAGCCATCGTACAATTCTCCCGAGAATAAAAAATAGTACAGAGGAACCGAACATTTTTTCCTTTATAAAACTTAGGTCATATGATCTTCGTTTGATCACTTACGGGACACCCTCTATGTCACGTCACAGCGCTAATCGTGTGCACGCGGTGCAACGAATCAAAGATCAAGTGCAAATAAGTACAAAAATAAGTCGCAGGGCTCCAGAACTCGATGCATATACTAAATATTAATCTGGATGAAATATGAAACCGTAATAATATATAATAATAAATAAAATCGTAAGTTAACAATCGAAAAGGTAGAAAGAGACGCCGGCTACAAAGCAAGCGTGCTCCAGTGGGAAATGGATACAATTGTATGGAGAGACGACGTAGTTGGCGTTAAAAGTACGATTTCCTACTTCACGTTTACCGAAGTCTGAAGTTATCTCAACATGCAACTGGCATTTTTTGAGCGTATAGCATTAAAAGCAATTTATAATTTTCAAGATCGTTTGCTGAGTTTAATAATAATCCACAAATACGATTGAACTATTACTGGCCGACACAAAATATTCTCACAGGTCACAAAGTTACGGTGTCATTGTAGTAATAACCCAGAAATCTAAAACTTGCAACAAGAAAAATTTCACAGACGGAAAAAAAATAAAAATTCAACTTTAAAGAAATCGATTTAATTAAGCGTTACAAATCAACTGGTTATATAAAATTAACTTTTATGTTTACCTTTCCTAAGCGTATCATATCAGATAAGAAATATAAGTGAAATACTGTCACAAACTGTTAACATATACAGGGTGATTCTAAATTGACGTAATTCCTTTTAAGAGGAAATAGGGGCTCACTTGGAGAGTAAGAGAAAAGAATAGAAGATTTTTTTTGAAAATTTCTAAGAGAATTGAACAGTTGAAAATCGAATTTCAACTTTGTAATTAAGCATTATTTTGAAATGGTTCATTTGGTTGATTGGAGTAGTTTGTCATCCGAAAATAAAAGTTAAGATATTTGCTTCAAATTACGAAAATTTTTCAGATTGAAAAGTAAGTATTTCATTTCGAATTCTCTCTTCTACATATTTTTGATGAAAAGTCAAAGGAGTAATGATGTTTTTAGTCATTATCAAGTCCATACTTTTTGTCTAGAATAACAATCATTTGTCACATTGTGACTTACTTTGAAGCTTCTTTCACAAAATGTATACCAATATCGAATATGCGAAAATGCAATCAGTTATGCGGGAATGCCACATTAACATAGCAGAAACTGTAAGAACTTACTCCGAAAAAGGGCTTGAGACCCTGGAAAATTGGCTTCAGCAAGATAGTGGACGACGACAGTTGTTCGGATACCAGACACAGAAGAACAGCTATTGGACACAATTGCAGAAGGGTCTTCCCAGGTTAAGAATTAGGATGCTACAAGTATTTACGGAATGTTAATTAGCCAGATTACGTTCTACTGATATACTAATATAGTTGTTTGCAAATTTCTCAGTATTTAAGAACAATTAATCCTTCATCTATTTTTGCTGTACTCCTAAAAACCCCCGTACAACCCATCTAGAGAAATGACGCCAATTTTTAATCACCCTGTATACCAATAATGCTTTTATATGCATACTCGATTAGTATGCAATTACTCGGCGGTTTTTATTTATGTCCTACTAACAATATTGTAAACTCCAGACAGAAATGAGAACCTAAAGGAAAATTGGCAAGAATATATAGATTAAAGAGGCATTTTGTATCCATTTTAAAATGTTTAAACAAGAATCTTAAGGTTAAGGATGAAAAAGAAGACAAAAAATGTCAAACTATAAAATGGAAAGACATGAGATGGTCTTCCCGAAATTAAAACCAAACATATCAGCTTTCTCAAAAGAGATATACTTTCGAAACCATTCCTTGAAACGAATAGGTGTTTCGGAAGAAATGTAGAAATTATGCCGAACGACAGCATAAATACCCGATAAACCCATTAGTTTCATATCAGCTTTCCTTTTTAAATCCTTTGGAAGAGGACTTTCATTTTTTTCAGTAAGGAGAATGCTTTAAAAAATGTTGGCCGTCCAGTAAATCATTTAACATTAGAGCCACTTTACCAAGAACCACTGAAAATACAAAATGATAAATGGGCGATTTTACAAAAGTTGCTAGATATCCTGCTCAGCAAAACTACAGAAAACTAACCAGCAATCAGAAGAAAGCAAAGTAAAGACCGGATTTTAAGCATTTTGCTTATTGCTGAACTTTATAATCAACCATAAGATTATTTAATTTCTTAACGAATTATACCAAACCCAGTATATTGCAATTTTGCCTTTTAATTTTTTAAATTTTTCATCCTTTTTTGTCCGTTCGTGCTTATTTTAACTTTTTCCCGCACATCGAAATAATTTAAAAAATAGTACAAAACATTATACGGGAATAAATGTCCATATACAGTAAATTTGGCAACTTTGCAAGGCGTCGCGTGATTCCCCGAAAAATCCGTTGGCACGTTGGTAATTCCCTAAAGTTTAACTTTGCGCCATGCAAAGACTTTTGTTATTTATTTAGTTAGTTACGACGAGGTGGTCTGGTTTCCAGTTTGTTTGCATCGTCTGTACTTCGATTTAATTAGCTGTACGTGGTAACTATTTAAACAATGCCGAAACAAAAGCCAATCATTGAAGAGTGGATTAAGGGTCACAAAGAACTAAAAATTGACAATAAAAATATTTTTTGTCAAGCATGTTCTAAAACTGTAAGTAAAAATTCGCAAATTCTTATTCTCGTCTTTGCTTCCTGTTTAAAATATCATTTTATTTTTCTAAATTTTTTGACTTAAGAGATTTCCTTTTTGACATTAGTTAAACGACTTTAAGATAGAATATACAAAAATAGGTTTTAATAAATTTTAAAGTAGTAGGTAATATTTTCTTATTCTATTGCAGATTGTTTGGCATTTACAAACTGAACGGCATAAGGAGCATATTAAAAAATATGAGGAAAATCAAAATAAGCAACAAAGTATTGTACCGTGCATGGCCGGGTATCAAACTCTTTCTTCAGCTTCCAACTTTTATTCCACTCGGTATAACTTTATATACGGAACAGGAGCTAACTTCAAAATTACCGTCAACTTCACAAACAATAACAATAACAAACGGAAAACTCGGTCTTCCGACTCGCGGGGTTTAACCTTTTCTGCACCCGGCCGCGGCTGTCACTTCACTCCCCCCTCTGGTTCTCATCGCCGCTTATATAGTTTCCTCCAGGTAACCCAGACGGTTCTAGAAATTTCCCGCTTGTCAGTATCATATTTGACAGTAAATGGGGCTCAAAGGGGGCTCCCATTTACTGAAATACCATAAATTTCGATCCCCCCATTCCAAACGTGAGTACACCAGGCCATTTGCGTCACACTGCTTCCCTTCTAAACCCTAATCGCCCCGATTAGGTAATTCCTGGATCATCGTTATATCTGGCCAAACGGTAAATGTGGGCAACTTTAAATTTTGCCTGAGGGCTCTTCTGATTGCTCATCAACAGTTGAACGCCGCCGACGTCGCGCGGCTTTTCGCTGGTGTTCACTTGGCGCACCACGTTGTCCATCTATTGAATCGGCGGCCTCACCAGGTTAAAGAACGTGAACAGATCTCCAGTATCGGCCAGTTTTTCTCTGCGCTGCTCGCAAACCATTTGCAAACTGCCCCATGCAGACACCACTTCTTGTTCTTTATTTGTGATCTCTTTAGCTCCGTCGCCCGCATAGCTGGGTTGAAGCTTGGCCGATTCCTCTTGGATCTGTTGGACTTGGTTCTGAAGCGTCTGCAGGTCTTGCATGAAGTTCTGATGTTTGCGTTGCGGCGTTGAAACAGAACCAGCATATTGGCCCAGTTCGTCCGACATGGCCACCTGCGTCTCCGAAATGCTACTGAGTACATCCTTGCAATCGTAGAAGAACTTGTGTCATTCACGGGAAGCCGCAAGCATTTGCGTTCGGGTTTCGATCAATTCCAACAAGTTATGCCAAGCCTCGTTCAGCCCGTCCTTCCTTTCGGCGATTGTTGCCGAGTCGGAATGGCCGGCAGCTATCAAGGAGTCTGCAATGTCGTTGACTCCCGCAACTCTTTCACTTCCAATCGTTTCCGTCTTGTGGGCGAACTCCTCCTCTGTTGAGCAGGAAGATCTGCAATTAATGCATTGCACCTGCTTAGCACATGGGTTTAACCGCATAGCTGAAACTATAAGATTGCAGTATGCGTTGGTCAATATATTAATACAAAATGACAAAAACTATTTATAAAATCTCCATTAAGAGTGCAGCATTTAAAGGAAATATGTCCTGTATTCCCTCACCCCCAGAACCTATTTTAACACGGTGGGGAACTTGGCTAGATGCTGCCTTGTACTATGCCAATAATTTTAACGAATTTAAAAGCTTGATACTTGAATTTCAAGGTACAGAAAGCAAAGCAATTCAAGAATGTCAGGAAGTTTTAGAAGTACCCGAACTTGCACATAATTTGGCTTTTATCAAAACTCATTTTAAATTTGTATGTCGAAGCATTCAATTTTTGGAAAAACAGCGGCTGCCGTTAGTGGAATCCATAATGGCTATTAAAAATTTTGAACCTGCAGCCAATAGTATTCCAGGATCTATCGGTCAAATAGTAAATGAAAAATTGGTTCAGACTCTTACAAATAATACAGGGTTCCGAACATTGCAAAAAGTATTTACTATTTTGAAAGGTGTGCCAATTCCGATTTTAAAATAGATCCAGCAATTATACCCAAGTTTAAATATGCACCTACAACCAGTGTAGATGTAGAACGAAGTTTTGTGCATACAAAAACATTTCATCGGAAAGGAGACATAATTTTACTACGGAAAATTTGGAGAAACATTTAGTTATATTTCTTTTAAGCATTGTTAATAGTAAATAAGTATATTGAACGTGAACAGAACGTGTTAAATGTCAAATAATAAATAAAAATAACAATATCTTATCATTACAACTTTTTTTAATTTTTTTGCAAATATTTTTATGCCATTTTTTTGTGGTTTTTTTAAATATATTCATGCTTTTTTAGGCACATTTTTTCCATTTTTTTGTTCTATTTTATCCGGTCTCTATACATAAGCATCCCAGTGCAAGTTTTTATTTTACGTCTAACTTGTTTTGCTTTTCCGTTTTCATGAGTGAGCCATTCCGAGATGTTTACCCTTAATGTTTTTTTCTCATACTTTTGAACCCAGTAGTGTATTTTTGAGAATCGTTTAGGGTTTGTACTAAAAGTTGACTAACTAAAATTCAAATGGCTAGATAAACTGTCAATGATCAAATCTT